GGACTTGGGACCCAAGGGCCTAAGGACACGGGCCTCCGAGGATCAGGGGAGGCTTGTGGGGCTGTGTGAGACTGGACCAGGGCGCTCTGAGGTGGCTCTTGTCTTCTACCTCCAACTCCCACTTCCAGTTGGAAGTAAACTTGTAGTTCCTGGGCCAGCTCCTTTCTACCCTCCTGGAATTTCTTCTGCAGACAACTCTGAGGGGACCACTTTGAATTCCTCTGAGCTTCTCCTGTCGTATCGTGACCAGTGGCACAGGTAAACTCCAGAACCCGGTTGTCCGGGTGCAAGACTCAGATGTCAAGGCCATCCAGCTCTGTGACTGTAGGAAGGTTGTGAAATCTTCGTGCATCTCATTTTCCCCGTGTATAAAAATTCCACCTCACAGATACTCATGAGAATTGAATGAATAATCCAGCCCTTGGCACACAGTGAGGGCTTGATAAATATTCCTCATTATTTTGCTCCAGTCCATAGGAAATATGCCCTTAGATTCAGGTCCTAGTCCTCCCCCAAGCCCCCTGACATGGCCTTGGTGCTTCTTGAAGGGGATGATTCTCCCATGGACTATGTCGGTCCTTGAGTCTGATCTTGAAGGGTCCAAGGAGTCACCTGGGGAGAAAAGGAGGGATGAAGCCCTGAATGAGAGGGACCAACGGAGCCAGAGAAGGAGCCTGGGCAGTTTGCCCTCCCTCGCCAGCTCTCATCCAAGTTTAGAGGGCAGAGAGGGCACCAGCTGGGAGAGAATAAGGCCACCTCCAAGTCCTCTCCCTTCTGAATCACACCTTTCTTCTTTTCCTTGAAAAAAAAAGAAAAGATAATTCTGCACATCCTCAGGCATAGTGTGGGCAAAGGGGGTTTCTGGATCTGCTTCTCTCCTCAGCCCAAGCCTCTGAGTTCAGGAGGTCAATTGCTCCCCAGGAACCCCCTTCCCCTACCCAATTAGAGCTCTGGTAACTGCAGATGCCCACTCATGTGCCCTCTCCTGGCTGCCCCCAACTGGTAGGAAGACAGAGGTGAGAGGGTGGCTTTGTTCAAGTAGGATTTCAGCAGCATGGAGGGGCCAGCTCAGAGGCCACAGCACCCTGGAACGGGAGCCTGGGCTGGGGTGGGGTCCGGGGGGCACTTTAGACCCCTTCCTGGGTAGAGTCCAGAAGCTCATGATTTGTGGCTGGACTGACCATGTGGAGCACCTGAGACCATGATAAGAGGAACCAGGGAAAGGGGCCCCTACCAGATGGATTCTGGTCCCAGGCTGACTGGGTATCTACACATGAGTGTCCCTGCAGAGGGAAGAACTTCGGTGTGCCACATCTCTGCCACAGGCTTGCACAAGCTGTACTAGCACCTCCTGGGAACACCCAGGGAAGCTGGGCTCCTCACCACCCCCACTACACAGGGGTGTGACTGACCTGGTGTCACACAGTACCAACAGGACACACCCACCTAGCCCTTCTGCTTCCAAACCCACACTGTCCCCAAGATGTGGTTGTGAAGGTTTGTCCCAGGTGCTGTGTGCAGAAAGGACAGACACGACCACTTATGCTTTTTTTTTTTTTTTAATACTCACTCATAATACCTCGACTGTTCCCAAAGAAACTCCAACCAACTTGCATTATGCAACTTAGATACAATAAACCGGAGAACAGAGTAACCAAATGTCAAGGTCTCGGTGACAAGAAGCAGGGGTCAGCGTTGGGAACAAACAAAGGCCACAGGAGGAGGGCAGACACAGAACATCCCGTGGGGTGTACAGAAGGGTTTGATGCTCCCTCAAACTGTAGTGACTGATGACAGTAGTTACTGTCATGGAAGGATATGATTAGGTAATGGTCAGTATTGATTGAATGCTTATTTTGTGCCAGGCATCATTCTAAGCAATTTACTTTAAAAAAAAATTCAGTTTGGAGTAATTTTAGATTTAAAGAAGAACTGCAGAAATAATACAGAGTCTCCTGAGCCTTCACCCAATTTCCCCTTCTACTAACATCTTACACAAGCATGGCACCCTTGTCACAACCAAGAAATTAGCGTTAGCATATTATTATTAGCTACATCACTAATTTATATTTGGATTTCCACTGATATTCCTTTCCTGTGTCAGAATAAAAGCCATGTTGCATTAAGAAGGTTCTTACTTCCTTATCTTTAATCTGTCCTCCTTCCTTCTCTCCCTCCCTCCCTCCCTTCCTGTTAAATCCTTTCTACTCCTAACCATAAAAATACAGTAATGAAGAACTGAGGCATGAAAAGGCCTTTCCTGACTGCTCAAGGCCACGCTGCTGGGAAGTGGCACTGCCAGTTCAGATCCAGGCCCTCAGTCGGCTCCAAGCTTCCTACTGTGCCCACGAGGAGAGTGGACAGTGGGGCAGATGGGGAAAGACGGGGCACCAGAGGGCCTGGGTGGGGACGGGCTTCCTGAGAACACGGTGGCATATTTTTATAGAGAGAAAAGAGGGAAAGTATTTGCTCCAGGATTTATGGCTTCACACCATAGGAAGGGACAGGCCCCTCTTCCTCAGAGTCGCTCCCCCACTAGTGGAAGGTTTGGGAAGGGTCTAAAATTCAACTGGACTCTCCTCTACCTTGTGACAGAGGAAACCCTTTCCTCCCTGTGCTGGCTTTCTCTTTTGTTAATTATTTTTGTATTTCACAAGTCATACTTGCTTATATGGAAAATCAGAATATGTAGCTAGGATATTTACGAATCCTCTAGAAGCTCAGATACAGTCGTTGTTAATTTTTTCTGTTTATTGAAGATCGATTGCATCTTAAAAGCGTCATCCTACTGTAGGGACTAGAGGGCAAACTTCTTTTTCCACCCAACAGTGGGTTGTGAACCTCTTTTTGTTGTTGTTCATTTTTTAACTTTAATTAAAAAAAAAAATTCTGTTGTATAGGTGTACCATAATGAATTCAAGCAATCCCTTCTGGATGGACAAATACATTCTTTCCCATTCAATGAATGGTTTCAAGTTCAAATATTTGTGTGCATCCCTCGGTATCCCACTGAGATAGATTCCTGGAAGTGGGGTGGCTGAGTCCAGAGGCAGGCACCTTGTTGAGTTGGCTGCACCCTGGCTCACTGCTATCCCGCCACCCCCTGCCTCAGACAGATAGCCTTGTTCACAAAGAATGCTACCTCCTCCTGCTGCTCCTCCCCCTTTTCCATCCTGGCCAAGGGCATACTATTGTTCTTTGATCTTGCACTTCTATCACTTTTACCAAGGTTGGTAACATTTTTGTGTTTGTTGGCCGCTCCTCTTCCTCCTGTGAGTTGCTTGTTCATGGAATTGATTTTGCTCTGTTCACTTTTGCTTCCTCTTCCCTGGATGGAGTAGTTCCTGACTGAACAATGGCTAAGACTTGAGCCAGGATGTGGGCATCCTGCCTTCCAGAAGTTTCTAAGACAGAAGGAAATGAACCATTGGCCTGAAAAATGTGGCAGGATACCAGCCTCTGCTTTGGCAGGAACCCAGGAGGGACAGTGCCCTCAGAGAGCTCTACAGGGGGACTGACAACTGCTCACCTTGACACGAGGGCGGAGTCAAATGAAGCCCAAGTTTCCTTGTTTCCCAGATTCCAGGAGCAATTGGGGATTTAGGGCGGGGCTTCCAGATCTGAATTCTGACCTGTCTGGGAATTAGCACAAGGTGATTCTTGGGGTGGGGTAGGTGGAGGAAAGGCAAACATCTCTGCTCCTGGAGTGGGTAAGGCACAGCTTTGTGGCACTTGGTGCAAATATTGCTTCTGCCATTGCCTAGAGTTTCTTCCACCTCAAGAACATGGTTCACCAGAGTCAGGAAGGTTTTTGAGGATCTTGCAGAGTGCAGAGGGACGCCAAGCAAAGCAAAGATGGGCACCCGTGCCCATGATCCTGTTTATGCACTGACGGTTGAATAGATTTGCACAGTGTATCTAAAATGAAAATGAAGAAACACGTTTTAATAAAAGATTTCCTTACTCCAAATGGTTTCAGCTAAGGCTCTGTTAAGAAATGATGACCGTGTGTTGTTGACTGAATGTTTATGTCCCCCAGCCCCAGGGCCCCAAACTCTTTTGCTAAAATCCCAACGCCCAACCTGATGGGATGGGAGGTACTTAGCTCATGAGCATGGAGCCTTCATGGTCAGGATTAATGCCCTTGTGAAAGGGACCCCAGAGAGCTCTCTCCCGCTCTCTGCACCAGGGGAAGATACAAGAAGACAGCCGAGGTCCCTCATCAGAACCCAAGCATGCTCACACTCTGATCTAGTCTAGGGGTGATCACTCACACCTGATCACCCCTAGACCATGAAAATAAACATCTGTTGTTTATATAAGCCCTTCAGTCTATGGTACTTGGTCATAGCAGCCAGAATGACTAAGACAGAGCCGTGGGGGACTCTCCTCCTCCTCCTGCTCTCTGGTTTGTAGACAGGGCAGGTGAGGCCTAGAGCGGCCCATGATGGCCCCACACAGCATGCAGCGTGGTCCTCGAATTTCCTGTCCTCAGATCCAGGCTCCTTCTCTGTGATGTCTGGCTGCAGTCATCATGCAGTGAAGGGCTGCTTCTCGCTTATAGGAAATATTGTTCAGGTTTGAGAAAATAAATCAGAGAACAGGCTGCACTCACAGAGGTCCAGCCAGAGGCTGTGCTCCTTCATCACCCTGACCCGCTTCGACAGGTCACAATTCTCCACCTGCTGGAAATTGTTGTTGTTGTGTGTGCACACAAGCCATTTCAAAGAGAGTGACACACAGCTCACAAAGTAGCATCAGATGGACAGAGAGGGACCTGGGGTGGTCCCAGAGCCAGTGTCTGAGTCTGGGCTTAATACAGTTAGGAAATCTTTCCTTCTTACTGAGAGGCCTCAAGGACGCCCCCACCGCCTTTAGAAGTAGAATGGCTTGCTGACGTTATTACTCCTCATTCTAGAATATTCTCCCTTAGGCTCTCCACTCTCAGTGTCCTTAGAACCCTTCTAGCTTCCGTCACTGGACAGAGTTCTCTTCTTTTCAGGGAGCTTTTCTGCTGAGTGACTCATGGGATGTCTCAGTGCTCCTGGGAGGTATGGGACCAGGCCAGGGCTCCTCCATGGGGCCATCTCCATGGGACTGGTGCCCTGAGATGTCAGGGACACCAAGTCACTCTGTCTAGGTCAGAACATCCAGACTTCTGACTTCCAAATCAGTGCTCTCTCACCTTCCCCAGCGGTAAGGGTGGTGTGAGCGGGTGTTTAGAGGAGGCCATGCTGAGCTTCTTGGAGGGATGAGGCTGGGCAGAGCTCTGGGTGATGTGAGGCTGGGGTGAGGACAACCTTGGAACTGCTGCCCACCAGCCAGATGGCCTTGCCAGCCTCAGCCCCTCTCCACCCTCCCGGACTCAGCTTGCTGAGTCTGGCCCATGTGAACTGCTGGGGTTTCTGGGCTGATGAATCTTTATTTGCCAGGGCTGTCCTAAATGTGCTACACTCTGCTGGGCAAAACCATTTCTTCATGGGCCGTTTCTCTTCATTGCCTGGTAGTGCCACCCGCCTGTGGCATGATGGGGAAGGCAGTTGTCTTTGCTGCCTGCTCACCTCCCTTTTGGCCCTCTACGCCAGCCCAGTGTCCTGATGGCACCCAGGCCCCCCCAACTCCTGAAACCTGTGTCACCCCCCCACACCATGGCCACTCCCCACCTCTCACTCCATCTCCAGGAAGTGGCAGATAGTGGTGAAGTTCCCGCCAACACTGAACCCAGAGCCTGTGGGCCAACAAGGGCCAGACTCCAGGTGGAACTGACAACTGCAAGGCAGGTGAAGGCAGGCTGAGAAACAGGCAGACAATTCAGCTCAGGGGACCCCAGCTCCTCACCAACCGGGACACCAGGCCTACGACGATGCCTCTCCTCCTTCCCAACCTCACACCTGTCTCTCCCGACAGCTTCCACAAACACTTGTCTGATGGGCTGCTCCAGAGATCAGCCCTAGAATCCGTACCTCACCTCTCCTACATCTCATCTTTCTCATGATAGTCTCTTTTTTCTTTTTCTTGTACCCCAGGAGAGCTAGTCAAGTTTTTTTTTTCTCTACTTTGCTAATTTATTTTTTCTGAGGGGGAGGGAGGAGGGGGTCATCCAGTCTACTTTTTATTAGCTATTCCCAAAGTGGTGTTTAATTCAGATATTTGGTCTTGTTATTTCTCCATATCTCACCCACAGCCCTTTTGGTATTACCTCGTTATCTCATTTGGGGATGAAATACATATCCTCTCCCTAAGACTGCAGATCCTCTGTTCTCCCCTCCTCCCTTCTCTTTCTCAAGTTCACTGGGAAGGGAGGGGGGCAGTGTTCTCCTGTCTGCAGCCGGGGCGGGCTGGTGCGAGGCTCCAGATCAGTCTTGGTTTCTCTGGGCCGCTGTGCTGCTGGGGATTCCTCTCCCACCACCTGGGTCCCTGGCGCTCTAACTGTCCTGGGGGGGGATGTTTCCTGAGCAGGCTCTGGCTGTCCCCTGAGTCGCCCAAGTCTGGCCTTCAGGTGAGAAGGTCACTTCCCAGAATGCATTGCCCACTTACCTCCACTTGCTGGTTTTCATACTTTGTCGCATCTGGCCTGGTGGCGGGCAGATGGTGGCAGAGGAAGAGGGCATTGTGATTTGGAAAGGTGACAGGATTCTGCTTCAAAGACTAGCTTTTAAAAAGTGTGTGTGTCGGGGGGGGAAGCAGTTGGCCCCTCTTCTGGTACATCCTGGGGACAGCATAGATGGCAGAAGAGGTGGGAAGTCTCTTGGTGCCTTTCCCAGAGGGCCTCTGGTTGGTGGAGGGCATCACAGGTGGGCCGTGAGATTGCCGGGAATTTCCCCCCTCGTCCATGTTCCTGGCAGCTTAGAGGTCTGGAAGGCTAACTGCCGGCCATGCACTCTTTGGGGCTGGAAGTCTAATGACCCAATACTTAATTGCACATTTATTGTCCTGTCCCTTCTCTGTGTTTGTTTCTTCATCTTTCAACAGCAGCTCCTGCCTAGACTCCGTGTCTGACCACTGTTCAGTCCAGATGGCTCAGGTAGGGCTCTGGAGATGGAGCACGTGACCCTGACCTAAGCCAATCAGACTTCAGAGACTGTGACAGATGCTGGTATAACCAAAGATTCAGGGCTTTTTAAAGAAAACTCTTGGAAAGGAACCTGAAGTTTCTCTTGCATCAAAAGAATATGTACAGAGCTTCGGATGCACCTTAGAGCTTGAAAATGATGCTGAGGACTGAAGAAAGGCCATAGTGTGGAGACAGCAAGAAGCCTCTGATCCAGCCTTGCCTGAAGCTGGCATACTTTGGCCCTTTTAGCAATAGGAACTAATAAATTCTTTTGGTTTAAATCCATCTAAGTCAGATTATTAGTTAATTGAAATAAAATGTATCTGCATTGATAAGGGGGAGGGATACCAAAGATAATAAGGAAGATATATTCCTAAATACTTATAATGTCACCTTTGGGTAGTAGAATCTTAGGTTGTTTTTATTTCTTCTATACATATTTTATTTTCCTACATTTGAATATGTGTTTTGTTTAAAAAAGCAAAAATAGAAAAAAACAAACAAGGTAAACTCCCAATAAGTACTACGCCACACATTTGTTTCTTCAGTTTGGAAAGACAAAGGGACAACGTTCATGCCCTTGTTGAACCCGGGAATCCCCCACACCCTCTTGGAGGGTTGGGGGGCAGCTGTGACCATGCAGTCCTGCAGTACAGATCTCTCTTTAAAACTGAGCACTTTATCGCTAACTGTCCTCGCTGGTGACCTAATGCTGGGTTCACAAAATCTGACTATTCCAATAACTCAAGAAAACGACCAAGAAAGCACGCAACCACACAGAATTATCTTTTCAATAATCTGGAGACGGCTCTGCAAACTTAAGGATCCTTGGAAAGAAAGCCACTGGAATTCTTTATTCTTATATAGGGAACAAACAAGGGGAGTTTCCATGGAACATTCTATCCCCCAAAGGGCAAAAGGGTAGGATTACAAAGGAACAGGTGAGTGTAGCTCAACCCCTCTGGGTGCCGCCTACTCCTAGGGCCATGCCTTATTATCCAAAGCCCAAGTCACAAGTCATGGCACTACCACGCCAGACTACAGTGACCTTTCAGATCCCAGTGGTGCATCAGGACTCACAGGTGCGTGCCTTTGGAGTGGCTCCCCACAGTACAGGTCTCCCTCTAAAACTGAGCACGGAAGCCTTTAGATGGTGATAAGGATCACACAGGTTTGCTTCTAAGGGAACTTAGGAAACTCTTCTCTCCAGAGAGGACACAGGTTGCAAATAAAAATGGTTTCCAGAGGTTTTGGAGCATGCCTGAATGGCAGGTCTGGGTGTGATGCCCTGGGTGTCAGGGAGGCCCCCAGGCTCTCACCAGGGCCAAGCCAGTGCCACCAATGGGGCTGGGCAGGGGAAGTCATGCGTTACATTACAAAGGGTGGCATGGGCTGAGGCCAGCAGGCACAGTTGAACACTCACTTTATCCCAAGTGTCACGGGGTGCAGATGAGCTGTGTGGAGTGTGGGTACACGGCACCCTGGTCACAGCGGACAGTCATCTCCAGCACAGACCTGCCCCCGAAGGACACACCACTGCTCACGCCTGCACATCCAGGAAGCTCAATGGTGGGGAAAAAGATGGAAAGAAAAAAAAAAGTTGAATGGACTCAGGTCAGACCAAGGAATTCCTCCGTGTGTGTGTGGTGTGGGGGGGGGTCCCTCGATTGTGTGAAATTTGGTTATTTTTTGCAGCAGTGTTTCTTAAAGCGTGTTTGGTTGTGTGTTTGTTCCAGTCCTTGAAAGAGGCATTGAGGGCTCCTGTCTGCAGGGAAATTCATTGGAGAAATAATTCACGTGTCTCACGGTCCTCTCTGGGACAATCACAAAGTACATTCGCAGGTTAAGGCCTCTGAGAGGTCCTTCAGGAAAGGAGGCTGGTTGATGGAAGGGTCCTGGTACTCATTTTGGGTGAGTCACTCTTGTCCCGGATGGAACAGGGTGTGAGGCCAACTGTGCAGAGGGTGACTGCTCCCTCAGTATGAATAGGGGCCACTAGAGAACCGTGGGGCTTGGGGGGGTGGGTGAACTCGGCTGTGCACTGCAGCCCCCAGAGTATTTCAAGCATAAGGCAGATTGTAAGATCTTGGCCATTCCCTGGGTTCAGCACCTCACTTTATAGTAGAAAAGGACACTGAGGTCTTGCGGAGGGCGTTGGCTCGTGACTACCTGCTCCTGGCTGAACACTGCAGGCAGTAATGCGGGACCCTTAGGGAGAGAGAATTGACAGCAGGCTATTGGGAAGCCCAGCGACTCTGCCAGAAGCTTAGGTATCAGATCCAAGAAAGAGGCAGGAGCCAAGGACAGGTGGGCTGGTGAGACCGTAGCCGGATCAGACCCCCAGATCTGCTTAACCTGCCTCGGCTAGGCCCAGGAGGCCTCCAAAACTGACCCACAGCTCTGTGTCCTTCTCCATGGGAACCACTGATTGGCTGAGCACAGGCCACCAAGCACCGCTCCCCAGCTGCCAGGGTCGGCATGAACAGGTGTCTGACTTTGGCTGCTGCACCTGAAACTGGAGCCCATCTCTCACCCCGACTTGTGGAAAGGTGGGTATGGTGGGGGGGCAGGGTGAGGTTACGTTTCTCATCACTTTCCTTCCAGCTCACATCCCTCAGCCAAGTTCACTCTTTCGTAGACGTCTTTAAAATCCTGATTTAAAGGACAGTGGGGACCATGATGAATTTCCACTTCAGATGGTCAGACCATGTTAGACACATTTTGAAACATTTATGTACTGCTTCCCTCCTTACTTCCTGCTCTCCCAGGGGGTTCCTCCTGTCCCTCCATTCCTGACTTACTGATCTCTAAGTAGAGTTGCCACCGTGGAAAAACACAGAGAGAAACCCATACGCAGATTTTTGAATTTCAAAATTCCTTTGAAACCTATGGCGGAGATAACAGTTTGCAAGTCTTTTGAGCATTCAAATCCTGAGTGTGCAGGACTCCGGGGGAACCTGTGTATGGTCTGCTCAACTACTTTGTTTTGGCTTATGCAGATGAGCTGAGTAGATTCCCAAGCAAAAAAATAAGTGCTCCAAAGGAGAAAGAGAGAGATGCTGGTTGTGAGGCTCTGGGACTGGTCCTGCCCACATGCTCCTCGACACTGAGTTTGAGGGGTCGACAGAATCTCCAATGGTTTGATGGATCTGAGAGCAGAGGGTAGGCTCCCCACTTCCTGAGAGCACCTGGGGAGGCTGGAGGCTCCATCGAGAAACCCTGCATCCGATGTGGGAGTGACCAGCAGACCAGAAGTGGCCATCCAGGGGCCAGGCTGCATCACAAGCCCTCATGGCATTGGTGTTGCTTGGGAACAGGATGATGTTTGGGGGGTGTTAGAAACACCAGAGGTGGCCTCAGAGCCAGCAGACCTGGGGGGGCTCAGGCCTGAGATGGTAAGCTTGGAGCAAGGGCCAGGAAGCAGCAGGAAGGAAGGCAACTTACCTGTACAATGGGCGATAACCAGACCCGTAGAGGCCAATGTGGACAGGGGACTGCGAGAGCCAAGCATGGGCCCCCGGATGCCCTGGGTGACACTTCCCCACCCCGACAGGTGTGACTTCTGGGAAAAGGAGAGAAGAGGAAAACCCTGAATACACTAGAACAGAAGTTCTGCCAAAAGCAGAATGGACGATGGGGGGGGGCGGGGATGGACTTTTTAGACTTAAAGTCTAAATTTGAGGACAGTGAAATTCATTTTGATATAATAGAATCTATAGTTCCTACACTCACATATATGCACACACACAGTTAAAACACACGTGTAAGACTAAAAAGAGAGTCTGAAGCACCTATCTCCTTGAATTATCAAACACCATCTGACTTGATTGTCCATAGAAACGAAGCCAAACTGGTGGTCCCCTTGGACCCTGCCTGTGCACTCCTCCCCAAACCACACCTTCACCTGAGCACCCAGAGCAGTCCCTGTCCTTTCCTGAGCCCTGGCTTCCCGGGTGGTACTTGGGGAGTCACTGCTGTTCCTGGCTAGGGGGGCTGGGGATGCTGCATGAGAGGATGCTAACCAGAGGACTTTGAAAGCTGTACATCTGCCTGTGACTATGTGACATCAGCCCGGATGCCCCTTGAGGCTTAGTTTCCTCACCTGTAAAATGGGGTCACCTCTGCTACGCTACTAACCGTGGCTGGGCTCTCTCTCATGGATCCAGTGTCCTCCGTGTGCCGGTGCCTCCCCGTGTGTGCCGTTAGCTTCAGTTCACAGACGTGGAATCAGGTTGGCACAAAAGGGACTTGCCAAAGGCCAGATACCTAATTAATTAAATCGAAGACTCCACAGACTGCAAGACACACCATTATTTTATAAACAATAAAGAAAGGAACTGCCGATTCTAACAGTAAGGCATCACTGATTATAAGGCACATTTTAATTTCAGGATATTAATATACATGGGAAAGTGGGGCTTAGAATTGAGGGACTACTGAAGATGGTGGAGTGGGGTGATCCCAGGTCGGAAGCTCAAGTTCTTCCTGTCTGGCCAGGTGCTACCCAGAGAGGCGATGCACGCTGACCTGAGACCCAACCCAGCCACTGGATGAAACCCAACTTCTAAGCACACAGTGTGTTAGGCAGACACAAGAAATCATGGCCAGGAGGCGCCTGCCAACGGCTGGAATGAAACAAAGGCTTGCTGACTCTCAGAGAAGCCACCTCCCTGGAGGAACTTCAGTGAATTCTGGGTGGAATTCTCCCAACACAGAAAACGGACTCCTTGCCACAATGTCTGATGCAATCTCCTCAGCCAGCCTGTTCAAGAACTGCGGGGCTGGACCTGGATCCAATTCACCTTCAGAGACTAAACTCTCATCTCCAGTCTGGTGGAGTAACTAGGCAGACCCTGGGAACCACCAGGATTGTGAGACCTTGTCTTCAGATCAGATGGCGCCCGAGTCTCCAGGGCCTCAGACACAGTAGTCTAGACCCTCAGTCACCTCTCACGGGGTGTCCACAAATGGTTTACCATCTCCAGGTCTTGGCTCACCCTTTCCTGACTCCCTCACCTCCTCCACCATCCTCTCCCTGGATGACCACGTGAAGTAAGTTGCCATTCCATGGCTGGCTAGTGTGCACTGAGCATAATCAGTCCTGGCGTTTCAGGGCCTTTATCTCATCAACTCCTCAGTCTCTCCAAAGTAGACATTATTTATTCCATTTTGTTGAGCCTGAGGCTCAGAGAGGCCAATACAGGACCATAGCCACACAGCCCATAAATATGAGCTCTTGACAAGGCTCCATGCCATGCCTAGAACAGTGCCTGGGACAGCATGAG